GAGGGGCCGGCGCGCGCCCGCGCGGGGGCTGCCCCATGGTGCAGCGGGGTCCGGGATGTCGAAGACGCTGAAGAAGAAGAAGCACTGGCTCAGCAAGGTGCAGGAGTGCGCGGTGTCCTGGGCCGGGCCCCCGGGCGACTTGGGCGCCGAGATCCGCGGCGGCGCGGAGCGCGGCGAGTTCCCCTACCTGGGGCGGCTCCGCGAGGAGCCCGGCGGGGGCACCTGCTGCGTCGTGTCGGGCAAGGCGCCCAGCCCCGGGGATGTGCTGCTGGAGGTGAACGGGACGCCCGTCAGCGGGCTCACCAACCGGGACACCTTGGCTGTCATCCGCCACTTCCGCGAGCCCATCCGTCTGAAGACCGTGAAGCCAGGTACCGGCCCTGCCTTTCGGTCTCGAGGTTGGGAAGGGCCGGGCGGGCGTCCCGGAGCGGCCGCGCCTCCCCGCCTTTGTCGTCCTGGGCAACCTTAGACCTCTGGAGTGTGCCTGACTCCCTGGGGAGGAGGACGGGTGACGCCGGTGCTTCCCATTTTGCCAGTGGGAAAACTGAGCCCTGGCTCGGCGGGCTGCGCTGCGAGTTGTCACCGAATTGTAGCCAGAAGCTGGGTTTCCCTCTTTGTGGCTCGGGCTCCCACCGCAGACAAGAGTTTTTGGCTAGAGGAGGCCAGCCCTTTCCTGTTCTCTGTGGAAAAGGGTCTCAGAATCGTAGCGTTCTTTCTCTTTGGACCGGTCTGATGCGTCTTAGGCACTGGGAAATGGTTTTTACTATCAGGGTATTCGGTGCCAGGTACCACCTAGTGTACCCGGAGGCTTAGCTGCTTCAGGGTTTCTTGCATAGCAGCAGATGTCTCGGAGCTGACAGCCTAACTCAGTCCAGGTGTTCAGGTGTCTGGGTACCGGTGAGGGTACAGTGTATGGTACGTGACATGGGGTGCTGTTGCAAGGAGCTCTTGAAGAGACTTTGGGTTTTAAAAGAAGACCTAGGTGCCTAGCTGAGTAAATGCTTTTTGTAAAGCTTTCTATTTTACAGAATTTGGTTTAGTAGGTAAAAAAGCTCCTGTTGCTACCCTGGTGTCCTTTATGCTAGTAAAATCTGCTGCAAAGCACCTTAGTTTCGGGCATACTTGCTAGTTTCATAGCATTGATCAGACTGCACACAGTGAGATTAGATAGTATATAGTAAGTAGTCTTACGTTGAGAACATTCTTGGTCGTTTCAGCTTTGATAAAATGTGGTTCAGTAGACATACTGAGTTGTATGTAGATAAGCGAATTATGTTCACATTATTACCAAGCTGTTTTTTGCTGAATGTGCTCCACTAATGTACAGTGCAGCAAAACATAATGGGCAGCCTAATTGTGATCTGATCCATCCCTTTACTGAAAAACACCAGAAAATTCTGGAGAAAAATGAATCCGCGCTCTCTCTCATTTTCTTTCTCAGCAGCTCACTTTGGAAATGTCTCTTTATAATAGTCCTTGAGCTTAATGGGAACTGATAGTTTGCGATGCGGTGTACATAGGTGTGTTGTGAGTATTCACACAGAGTTCCACAACGTTATGATTTTCTAAATATAGGCTGTTCTGTTATATTCATTCAGCGTTTATGTGTATGTGGGGATGTGAGGTTTTATTTCTGTTGTGAATTTTTAGAACTCTGGCTGACTTTATTATTTATTTGTTTATTTGTTTATTTTTGGTACTGGGAATCGAACTCAGGACCTTTCACTTGCCAGGCAGGCGCTGTGCCACTGAGCTATCTCCCTCACCCTGGCTGACTTTAAGCAGCTTTTTCTGTGTAGTTTTGAAAATTGTAAAATTCTTTCTTAGTTTTCACTGTTAAAGCCATAAGTGAAAGGAAGAGGAGAGACTGGGGGCTGTAACCCAGCCTGGGGGGACCACTGTCCATAACATGCCACACAATATGCAAAACATTGTGTAGACAGCATTTGCTAGTCTAGGTGCCATTTAGTTCAAATTCCCTTGAGTCAGTGAATAATGAGAACATCTGCATCATTGCTTTGTGTTTTGTTTTGATTAGTTGGGGCATGGATGAGAGTATAGCTATTATTTAAAAAGAATATTCTTAAAGCTGATAGGGAAGCTGGTATATTTCAAATTATTATGATTCTATTGGAAGACTAGAGAAATAACTCTCTAATATTAGTCTAGTTTACACATTACACATTTTTCACTTTTACATCAAGTTTAATAAAATATTTCAACGTTTAGGGTGTGTGCAGTAGCATTAATGGTGTTGAATAAAAGGCTACACTACGGTTGGCATTTTTATAATAATGAAATTTTGCCCTCTTGGCAACCAAAGACACTGTCCTATTTTAAATATTTAGCCAAATAATGGAAATAACACATTAATTACTGCAGCACATTTTGTAATCATTAATAGTAGTCAGAATGCTATGATTTATTTTTAAAAGATATACACTGCATCAATAATTTCTAATGGAAACCATAATATGTGTCATCTGAGATTAATACTCATTTCTCAGCAAGTTGTAACTTAAAATTTTTAATTTCTCCTGTTAAATGTAATGTTAAACGTTGCTTAAGGACAGCATTTGTTATAAACTAGCAAGATTTTTACAGGTTAAACAAAAACTTTAAATATTAGAAATTAAGAACTTAAAGATCTTTGATTAAGAACAGCATAAATATTATCTCCAGAGGAGCTACAGAATCTTACAGTTGTGATTCATTTAGAAAAGTATGAAAATACAGAGTAAAGAGATTTAAAAGAAACTTGCGCTGCCCTTTGTTTCTTTTTATCTGAACTTTGTGAGAGAAACAGATTTTTCAGTTTAATAAGGTAAAGTGTCCTTAGAATTCGCCTCTTGTCTTGACTAGTAACTCTTGTTAAACTGTATCATAACATGTCATTTAGAAATTATCACAGTGTAAGAATGAAATGTAACCATTTCTGTAAGATGTAATATTAATGGGGAATGATCTCACATTGTTTTCTGATAGAAGTCCATGGCAGAAGGATGAGCTGGAGTGTAGGATAAGGCTGCAGCAGCACTAATTCCTCTTAGCTTTCCCATTTGATTAGTGGGTGCTAAGGGAAGTCCAGCCAACACCAGTGTCATCAACCAGATGAGTTAATGAAGGTTCTTTCTGGCAGTGACTTGTCTTCAGCTTTGATTCAGTTTTTTTTCCCTTTCTTTTGTTATTTTAAATGGGTAATGTAAAAAAAAAGCTCTTTAAAATTCAGTTCCTAATCTGAAGCTTTCCCTGAGAGAATTACTGAGTTTCTTGTTTTATTAATGTAGAACTTAGCAGTCAGTACTTTTCCTGCTTCTAGAGTTTAGTTCCACCTCTTACTTTACCCAGCAGATACCTGTTTCATACCTATGACCCTGTATATTTATATTTCCACAGAGAGAAAGGAATTTGAACTTAGGATTTTCCCAGTAGTAAAGGAAGTTGAACTTGGGACTCCTGGTGAAATTGTTTCACGAGATAGCCCTGTGGCCAGCATTCGTTTCTTCGATTTTTTTACTTCAGAGCATATTCAGTTTCTAAATAGTTTCTATTCTGATTGAGACAAGTAGTTGATTTTGTTTTGAAATTCCTTAAACTATGAATGTGCAGTTTATTTATATAGCATATAAATATTTGCTTTTCAGTATATCATTAAACACATATTCAGCAGTTGTAAATTACGTGGATTGTATTCCAGAGATTAAGTATTGATATATTAATGTAGACAGTACATGATGTCATTGTCTACTGCCTTACCACACATTGTACTCGACTAGTTTTGAAGTCTATTACTATGGCTAGAGATCAGAATCACAGGGAGTAGTAGTACAGTTTAAATAAAAACTAATTCAGAACAGAGCTTGTATAGTGTTAAGTATAGGTAAAGTATTCACCACTGATTCTGAGGCATTCTGTTTCTAAGGGATTTTTATTACAAAGACCTCATTCCTAGAAATGCATTCCCTTTTGATGAAGACACATTACTGGATGCTTTTTTTTTTTTTTTTTTATTTTAAGGATAAATTAACAGACATACAACATTTTACAACATATCACAAGCACAATACAGACAATACAGAGTTACAAACAAAGTGGTAGGGAATTAACTTTAAATAAGGAATTTTTATGATATGTAAATAATAAAATCTTTCTTTTAATTCTTGGATCTTTTTGTTGGCTTTGTTTAATGGGTAATTTAGGATTTCAGTGAGTTTTGTTTAGGTGTTTGTAATAGATGAAGAAAAGTTAAGAGAAATGAGACTTCATAGGATTGCAATACAATAAATTAGTCAGTACTTTTTGTTCAACAACAGAAACTAGAGATTAGATTAGGGAAAATAGCATCAAATTTCGATAAACTTTAAATTTGAAACTCCATTTTTTCTTTGTGTTTTTTTGTTTTTTT